ATCGTTTTTTTTTTCGTGCGACGCAATGCGATCGAGAAATTGGTGATTTTGATTCGTAAAAGGATTTCACGACAGACTTCTTAGCGATGATCTCTCTGACATTCATTCACTTCAACGGCACCTACTTGCCAAGTTTTTTCACCTTTCCACTGTCTTCCAAAATTTGAATGATTAATGAGTTGCCAATGTCGAGAGTGATGATAATCCTAAAGATTGGCGTGATTATGAGCTATAGGTTGTTGTCGTCAATTAATGAAGAGTTCACGACCTTCGTTGTAAGACCCCGTGTCCTCTGTATAAAATCTTAGCAGCCGTATCTACATCATTTTCAAGCCATTTCTTGGTTCACGGTTAGTGGCATTCGAACTTCTACACTTTATAAATTTTACATTTGGATTTATAGATCAAAACTCTGTAATTTTCACCTTCTAAGAGTATCATTTAACAGGATAAAAATCGCTGTTAATCAATTCTTAAAAAAGCCATTCATGGCATTGAATGAGAGGTAACAGCCTCAAAACTCCGAGCTAAGGCATTTTGTTAAGATTGGCATTGATCGGGTACTTCACCGTTTTCCTGATGAACAACTGCGAGCCTGTTGAGAAGATTTATAAACTGTAATATATGCCGCCGTTTCGGCGGCTTCACCTGCTTCAGAGCTTGGAAGAGTCAAGTTAACACGCAGATATTCTTGAAAATTCTATAATTTCAGCAAAAAAAAGGAACCTGAAACGCTAATTTAGGTCCACATAGTAGAAAGCTTCTTTCAAACGCTGACCGTCTTTGCTCTTTCTAAGTTTTTCAGTTAGTCGTCGAAAACCTACCGCAGAGAGTTCTGCACGGATCAGGACTTTCCCTGCCTCAGATTCGAAAAAATCAGGATGGGGACTTAAGATTATGCTTGATCACGAGGCACTCTTGCTTGTGACTTGCTATTAACAACCTCGTGATTGCTCATCAAGAAAACAGGGAATTACAGCGTAAACAACAGACAAATGAATTTTTTTTTCGCACCAAAAACCTCTTGAAGTCTCCTGCGTGGATTATAATAATTTTCGAATTCGATTTGATTTATCACATCGAACTTCCTAAGTATGTCTTCCAATTTTCTTGCGTCTGGCTTGTTTTTGAGGATTTTGCTGTCAACACGATTGCCGCTAGCGCCAGTATAGTAAAATCTTCTCAGAGTGTTGAAATTGTCCAGGTGGAGGATTTTCCACTCGAAAAGAGAATGGTCAAATCCCAGTTAAGTCTATATAAGTACCAATCGCTAACTCAGGAGAAAGGTTCGGTGAGCACGGAGTGTGTTCGAACCTGCACTATGTTTGTGGGTGATCGGTATTGCTATCACAACGCTGTCCAGTCTCTGACAAATAAATCTGTGTGTATATGTTACACATTTTTCCATAAACGTTATAGCAAAAAATATGGCTACAAGAAAAACCTTGTGCATTGTAATTGCTCATGTTTCGTCAAAGGTTCAATCTTGAACCAGATAGTCGTACTCACTTTATATACGAACTAAGCGACCAGTTCGTTTCTAAATCCGAGTCCATTACTTAAATCCGCTCTGTCAAAGCATTTTTCTGAAGCTAATTTTCTCAAAGCTCTCGACATGACTTGATATCAACACAGGTCAAGCAGGTCAAAATCTTGCTTCATGTGCACCAGACTCTAGGTATCAAAAGCAATCAATCAGTTCAGCTTCAGTTAGTTTACGGAGCAGTTTATCAAGTAAATGACAGTTTTGTAAAACCATAAAACTCATCAAAAACGAGCAAAACACTTGGAGCACATAGAGTGATGTTCTTTTATTCCAGATTACGCAATAAATCACAATAATACTTTCCACTGTTTCATTTCGTCACAATATCTCCTCGTAGAAGTTTCATTCTTCCATCTTTTTCGCTCCAACGATTTTCTTTATTGCATTGACCACAACAGCAAGCGTTCACCATCAATGAGTGCAATATTACACAGCATACATCGTGGCTTACCAATTTCCCTCATCAGGCACTCTAACCGACGGACTCCAACCGGTACCTCGCCGTTTCGCACTAGATTTATTCAATGAGGCCCTTATGAAAGTTGTCATCGCATCAATTTTGAAATAATTTTTCAATGATTCTTCAAGCGAGAAATTGCGAGATCACGCTTAAGCAAAGGCTCAGGCTTAGGCTTAGAAGATTGATAGGACTACAACTCTTCACAGGCGTCTTCACTGAACATGTTTTCCATTCTTTCATGTATTCACTTTTGAAAAAGGTTGAAGAATTTTACTTTAGTGGTTATTACTATCAAAATCCAGTCTTACATGATGTGTTACTCGTTCCCGTGCTTCTGAACTCTTCTCGAGCTGTCTCGTGAGTTTTTTCTATCTTATACGCAATCATAGTACCGCAAAATGGTAAGAGGTAATGTCACCTTCGGAAGCGTTCACACTTCCGACTGTGATTTCCATCGCAGAAATACTTAGCAAGCCAAAGTCGAGACGTCACTGAATGATATCATATTCTGATCACTGACTTGAAATCTTTAATCGGCAGAGTAAACGGAGATGAACTTAGAAGCCGGTCCGTGGTTGAGAAAAACGATCAACTAAAAATAAGCGGTGATTACATCAACTCCCCATCTCCATTCTAAACGCATAAGTACTTTACTTTAAGCCATAAAGAGCAAATGAATTTTTTACAAGCTCAACAACCCAAATAAGTCACAATTCCACTCATATCTATATATCTAGTCACTGACGACTTTTATATTTAATCACTTTTCATCCGATCTAATTGTCGCTCCCGTCGTCGGTAACGGCAGTGTTGTTGTCTCTCTTCCAATTTGGGTCATTGGAGAACGGTTTCGCCGATCTATTGGTTCACTTCCATTCATCCCTATCACCTCCTCAACTATAACTAAAATAGACGCTTGATCCTAACTAGCATGTCATCATAATGTCGCTATCTGTGACGACAATCACCATTTTCTCCTCAAAATGGTATTAATTGAGCGCTCACATGCACTATTTTCAGTCAAAAAAGGTATTTATTTTAATCAAAAAGGAACGGAGAAGCTTTGCTCCTCAACACATAGCGGACGGTGCGCATCAATTTCAATGAATACCTTTACGAAAATGTAGTGCTAAATTTATATGAGCATGTCTCAATATAGTTTATCTTATTACTTGAAACAAAAGTTATGAAATCTACAAAATGTTGCCTATAAAACAGCGCTTTGACGCTCGCTTTTTTGGGGCTAATTTTTTCATAACTTTTTCCACCACAATGATACCTCAGTCTTGTGGTCACATTGTCGTCGACGTATACAACTCACAGATCAAGTTTTTTCTCAGCATAATTTTTTCTTTTTGATCCTTCAGAGTTTGAGATTGAGACAGATTCAAAGAAGTATTTCAACAAAAAATCTATGCCTTAGCGCTGCTGAATAAAACCGGCGTATTGAAACATTGAAGTCAGTGTATATGGTCCATAGTTTGCTCCAGCGTATGTATCGAAATCAGTGCGCATGGTTGAGAAAGGCTTTAGTTGGAGTTGTTATGCCTTAAGTTTTCTAAGTTATTAAGAAGTCATCCGATAATGTTGAGTGATAAGTAAAACTTTGAACCTCAGGCGAAAGGGAACCTACATTTCACTCTTTCCAAGGGCGCGTGATAATCTCTGTGCTACCTGCGCTCCTGTTGTGCCATCACTCTTTCTGCGATACAGGGCATCGATTCTTCCAGCAACCAACCGTCAACGGCTCTAGTAAGCACATACCGGTAACGAACCCCGTTAAGCTGATAGCTAATGGAGTTAAGTATTCGACAAGAATTCTTATTTGACTACTTTCATAGCAATGGTATGAAAAAATCATATGTTTCTAGCAGACAAAAACAATTAGCGAGTATTGTTATAACAGCCTGCTTTCAATTTATTGCTAACGATGCTTATTATACTAATGGCTTACCAATTCCATCAATTGTATCACAAATCACCAGAGAAGTCTCCATCTACACACGCTCAATGGCACAGGAGGTATCGAGTTTGATGTTATTTTATTAATGTTTAACTCTAGCGAATCATATACGGACGACCATCAGTGTCAAAATATTCTGGAATGAAGACTTTGAATAGTCTGAAGACTTCGATTTCAAACCAAACTTTTTTCGCATACTAGTAGAGTACACCAAAAAACGAGCTGACAAAGAATTTACGGTGTTGAACGATGATACGGTTAGTGTTCGTTTGTGCAACCTTTGTACCGCGCAGCTATGCTCAAGGGTATTGCTTATTCAAATCCAGAAAACAACGACGAACACATCACCCTCGCAGGTACGTCCTCTGCTACCAATAAATCTGCCTTACGCCACCAATCAGCGAGGCTGTTTTTCTTTCTTTTGTTGTTCCGAACTTTCAATCGATGGAGGCGATGAAACCTTTCTAAGGCGCTCTGTTGATCCGTCTTAACTTTTCTTGTTTATGGTTGAGTAAGAACTCTGCCTGGTGTTGAAACGAATTTTAAGGTTTTGTGTGACGGAAAATGTGATTTACGACATATCATAGAGTTTTTCAAAATGTTAGCCAATGATTGTGCATCGTCAGGAAAACGTATTGTTCCCCTAAAATTTTATGACACACATTTTCGTTACGTAGTAGTTTTTGATCTATCTACACGTAAGACTTTTTGTGCGACAAATTACCAAATTTTGTTCTGAATGTATGATGTCAAACTCATACCCACTGTTCAACAGAAAAGCAGAAAAAACGGATAAGCACCCTAAAAAGTTGCTTTAGAACTGTATTGGCGGGAGAACTATTTAGCAAAAAAAGAGATGGTTTTTTATACAGTACTTACTGTTTGAAATATATTTGGTTCGTATTTTTGTGCATGGAACTCCAAGCCGTATTCGGGTGGCGTACACGGATTTTTTTAATCTTTACTGCTTTTTTCGCACTGTTATGTTCTTTCATATATACCTAAGAGAATTGAGTGGTGAGCAAAGATGCGACCTCAGACTGGAGTCGAACCCGCGTTACATCCATACCAGAGACGCGTGCTACCACTACACAACCGAGGTAACTATTCGTATTTTTACTCACCACTCAAATCTCTCAGGTGTATATGAAGGGACATAACATTGCGAAGAAGGCAGTAAAAATACTAGAAATTTCGAATACTATTTATCACAATGGCTGTCAGCTCAAATGGGTTTATGAAACGAATTCGCACACCCGAGCAGATCTATTCGAAGTTGGTGGCTGACAGCTATCATAGAGATATTGAAGAAAGGGTGGTGGCGCGAATGAACCTCAACGGTTTAGTGGTAGCACACGTATCCTGTATAGATGAAACGCGGGTTTGACTCCCGTCTGACGTCGTATTTCTACTCACCACTCAATTCTCTTAGGAGTACACGGAGTTAAACGAAGCTCAGAAGTAACCACGCACTTCCCCGAATTCCTCTATAATATCAGGCGCTATGCTTTGTCCGTTGTGTCAATTTGAAGTGTCTTTCGCATTCATGTAATTGTTTCCGAATTACATCTGTGTATGTGTGAATGAAGCAGCATTCTCAAATATGGAATCTCTAGCGCACATCGATTCGAGCCTACTATCATTTGTGTAAGGACTTCAAAACAACTCACTGTTATCTCTAATAAGAAGCTCCTATGTGCTCTGTGGAAGAACTCAAAAAACTTCGCATTACACATGCTCTGTCACAGAAAACGATAACAATGAGAAACTTCGTACGAAGACTGTGATACTTCTCACAAGTGACCAGGTCTCACTGAACAGCCCCTCACACCGGGTACCTCAAGTGCGCAGACCAACTCAAAGTGAAACCACGATGACTGTAGAGTCACATCAGCCGAAATCAACTACTGATGTTCCTAAGGATGCAGATTACTGTCCAAAAGTTCAAAACGTTGGGCATTAATCAATCCCAGAATTACCTCCGTCGTCCATTACAGCGATGACTGGGAGTATTTCTGACCTGTGAAGTTACTCGCGATGGGCGACCGACGTATTCAATCAGTGTTCTTATCCTAACAAACAGGTATGTACCCTTTTTTGACGCCGCTGGAAATGGAAGGCTCGGTTGGCATGAATGGCGAGATTGTATCAGCGGCTAATCGTGCGTGCTGTGGCCCCTTTGACTACTAGGATATGCCTCGCCGGCTTTATACTTTCAGCCTTTTGTTTACCACGATTTCAGTGCACTTATTATTAATTATTGATTAACAGCATATGTGCCGGACTGTACTTGTCGTAAGCTTATAATCTTAGTCCTCTAATGATCCTTACCTCATCCAAAGCTTTGCATGAACCTCTATGAGAGAGGATTTTCTCGAACGGGAATGGTTCCCTGGAATTTTTGTCACTTTGTTTGCATGAACGCTTAGTCAACTGCAATGTTTACTCAAAAACGTTGCCGCGTCTAAGTGGTCGTTTTTTTTTCTTTCCTTCCGTGTTTAATTTTCCCTTTCGAACTGCTTTTGTCTTTATCGAGCCTTTCGAAAAGAATTCTGAAAAAGTCACATGTAACGTAGTGAGCAAGAATCTACTAACAAATTTGCCCGCTTATTTTTTCTCGCAACGATTTAATAACGAATCAATTATCGTTTTTCTGTATTTGAAGCGAGAATTTCATGAGGCCAAAAAAGCACGAAAAGTAATTGTTGTTATGCCCAGCTACCGTTCCGCTTTCAATATGTCGCAGTGGTGTGAAGAACTTGAACTAGTTTTGATATCGTTTGGACATGACGGTTTGGTACGAGAATTCTTTCAAATATAGAGTGGTTTTAGTTTAACTGAGATTTAATTGCTTCGAGACTTTTTTACCCTTCAAAGCTTTTCAACATTTGTGCTCATGAAGAACAGATTACCGGTAGCACTATGACATTCACAACAAAATACCTGACCTCTTGGATAGTTATAAGAGGCTTTGTCTTATCAATTGTCAGTAGTCGGTCCCGTCATCTGGGAAAAGGTGGAGGTTTTTTCATAGTGATTTTTTTAGCTCTAGGATGACATTGTTGCATCGTGTGTAAGTGCTTCAGAAACAGTGAACGAATAGTTGAATGAAAGGGCCCACGTCCGGTTCAACACGATGTTAGGGTGATGAGACAGAATATCATTGTTGGCCACCGTTGAGCAAACGTCGTTAGAGCTCTCTGAATCACAATGTCACTGTTGAAATGGTCGCACAGTCGAATCACCTGTTTGACGAACCATTCATCTCAAAATTTCAAGTATGGATGTGATCATCTCTTCCACTGTTAGTTCTAAATGACATTTTATTCGTTCTTCTTGCGTAAAGCTTCTCCATATATTATGTACACAATTTACACGACCAATTTTGCTATGCGAATCCCATCACTTCTTGCAATCGACAGACCAGTCACCTTGTATCCATCATCCACGAATCTCCTCAAACTTTTTGCGTGCAGGTTTGTCTGCCGGTGTAGAATATTCGTCTCTTTCACAAATGTCAACGAATGCTGGTCAAGTCGATTCTTCTAAGAGTGATGATGGGATAGCCGTGATAGAGAGTTCTCGATCGGATTGCAGAGAGTGAAATGTTTCCAAGAAGAGTCGTGTACCATGCTCTACTCCCGGATGGACGAGAGGCTTGTGAGTCCAAGTTGGAGACGAACCAACACCCTGCTAGTGATAAACGGCATTACTACTACTGCGCTAGGCGCTCTTCATCAAATGAGGAAACTATGAAGTTATCTGAGTTTGAAATTGCAGGATAATCTTTAGGGTGGTATGGAAAAAATGTTAGAGTGATTGTATTCTTCATCGCATTTGAAAGCATATGGCATGCACAACTGGCCATAGCTTTCGTGAAAGTTTTTATTAGTAGTATTTGCCACAATTCCGTTACAACTTGCATCACTTGTAGCTGTCGTAAATAATCCACCACTATCCACTCTTTTGAAAGAACACTATAATCTACATTCTACGCCAGCAATCTTCACAACGTACATTGAGCACCATTCGCTTCCAGGTTAGAAGCACTATAAGAAATTAGGAAAGATGCCGTAGTTCATCGTATCTGGAATCAGTTTCGATCTTCATAGAAGAAGGCCTTTACTTTTGCAAATGGTTTGTTGCTTATCCTTCGACATTTACTTATCTATCTAGACGACCCGTCATTACAATTTTTATTGTGCTGATCTCAGTACTTCTAGCAACCGATTCTTTTCTTGCCTTCTTATTGGATTACGTAGAATAATGCTTGAGCACGTCTCCTTACAATCACGAGAATAGCCTGGTTGTGGCCTTGCGTTCTAATTTCTGTAACATTGTAACTTTATCTAATATATATAATAACAAATACTTATGTGACACACGGATATCACTAAAAGTCTCCTGAATCAGGCCTTTCAAAAAAAAAACAAGAATTCGCCAAAAAACTTGCTCTTCTTGATTCTATTTAGGCAGAGTGAGGTTAGTTTTTTGTCTCGATTTGATTCAGAAATCGGAAATAAAGCTCTTGCACTAAAAATTTTCAAGAGTTAAGTTGGTTGAGTGATTTTCCGTCGAATCAGACAAAATTTCTCATCAATGTCACTTTTCCACCATACTATAGAAATTTTTTTACTATACTAAAAACTCACGTAGCCAATAATTTTGCATCTGTTACTTATTTCCTCACGTCCACTGTGTAGTCCTAGTAGTTCTTGCATTTGTTTTCTTGCGTATCGGATTCGCTTCCTCGTATCTATCATTCATGAAGTGTCTCGAATTCTACCTTTTGTGTACAAATGCTGGAACCCAGCCATGGAAAAATGGGGCTGGAGCGAGGCAATAAGCGATGAACTAGTGCGAGCCCCTCCCACAACACTCTATTGCAAAGTCAGCTGAATGCCTGAAAACGCCTTAGCTGAACTACTTCCGAAATTGCAAGAAGAACTGTCTCCATTAGCGCTCTACGGCACTTATTAGGAAGACAGAATCCTTGAGCAGCCAAGAGCCGAAACAACACGTGAAATGTTCGACGACTCCCGTAGAGGATGAATGCAAGAAAAAATCGAATGCAAGAAGTGCTGGGATTTGCACAATATTGTTTTGAGGGGTCGTGAAGAAAAAGTCTGCGTTAATGATAATCAATATTAACTTTCTTTCAAATTTTTCATAGTTTTCTCAACGTTAATATTAACTTTCTAACAGCATCTAATGGACATTTCTTCTCTTAGAAATATACCACGAAGAATAGTTAATTTTCCTCACAGTTGTAGTACACAGAAGACTAAAAAACCGAGCTTTCGGCATTTTCCGGCTGGGATTTGTAATCTTGACGAAATAGTGTCGGTTTCATGGGGGCGGCCGACTGGCAGCAGATCAGCCCACAGTGAATGTCCGAAGTGTAACAGCTCCGCCGCCTAGTCCCAACGTCACTGCGTCAATCCCTATTTTTAGTGGTCTGCCATGAGTTACCTGTCTCCACTACCTCACTATCCAATGCCGAGGTATTTATTGTTGTCGCTATTGTTGCGAATTCTACATTGCTTGGGCACCAGCCAATTTAAGTAGTCAGGAAGAAACTTTACTCAGAATTTCGCTAGTAGTGCCTCAAACAGACATACTATGAAAGCAAGGTGAAGTAGTTCTGTAGACCATTCTTCTCACATCAAAATAAATAAGCATCTAATCTTACCATTTTCTAATTCAGCTTACTACTTTAACACGATTTCATCGCACTTTTACATTAGAACAAGGATGTAGAATTACATGAAATTTACGATCAACTCTTACATCTTTTATACTGCGTGCTCGTCTGATTTTAACCAACAGCTTTTTTTTTTAAAAATTTCCACCTTATTCTAAGTGATTCTTTGATACGAAAAGAATTCGATCGTATCGATAAATTACAGACTCGCTCGTGCTCGTTCGTACATCCACGTTCCAGCTCCGTTTCCTGACGAGTACGAAGTATGGGACCCCCGCCACCGCCTCCTCCACCCCCTCTACTGCTATCCGTAAGTGTGATTATCGTTGAATTAATCTGTTGCATAACTGCTGGCACAATAATTAGGGAATTTACATGACACTCCTCATTTTTTTTTA